AAAGAGTGGTCCATTTGTATGACTAACATCCTTGGAAAGGTGAAAATGATATTACGGCTATTATACATAATGAAGAAAATTCTTTTTCTTTATTTAATTATTGATATTTCTTGCTTTTTTTTAATAAGCGAAAAAATTATGGAAATATTTCTTTAATCAATTCCAATACTTTCTTTTCAGCAAAGATTAGTATCGTATTATCAGTATTATCGGATGGTAAGTTAATACTAATAAAAAATTGTTTCTTAAATTTTGATGCTTTTTTTTTAATAAAAATTAAAAATTAAAAATCATTCAGTTTACACGTTAATTAATTATCGAAATAAATATATAATGAAACTTACCAAGCTTTTTTCCAAATTGCTTGGAAAGTTCATCAACATCATTGGTTAATGCATTTGTGGCAGTGGCTGGCATTGATGAAATTGGTGGAGGCCAAATTATTCAACAATTCATTTCCTTGATTACCAACCCAAACAAAAACCGAATCTTCTTGAAAAATTGTCAATTGAAAATAAATCTCTTGTGAGAGAAATAAATGTGTTGATGTATAGACCTTGAATTTTGGTATAGTTGGTTCTATTGTCGTCATTGTTATTAATTGATTGATTGATTGTGAGGAAAATTTATTTCAAGATTTTCAAAGGATCGTACTGTATGTATGGTACTGGGTTGTACGATGGATGGACTATGTAGATCATAACTAATTAACAACTATAAAATTAAGATATTATAACAAATGTAATGGTCCACATGGTGACAGAGTTTTTTTTAATTTTATTAGTAAAATCATCCAAAATGTTAAACTTTGAAACATATAGGCTCGATAACCAACAAGTTAGATTAAAAAATTTTCCGCGGTTTTTTTCTCTGTGATTTAAAGAATAGCCTGACAGAGAGTTTTTTTAAAAATTATAGTCTTTTTTTCCTTCGAAAAATTATTCCTTTTGAAGAAAATGCTTAATAAAATAAATAACATTATTTTCTCATTCAATTAATCTTACGGGAGATTCTACAAGGAGTAAAGGTTCTGAGGAATTAGTTTTCATTTTTTTGACTGCACGTGCATTATGAATTAGTCTTTTTCTTTTATTGGGCTTCGGTATTTCATTAAACACGAAGACTTTTACAAAATATAACTTATTCAAAAGCTGATAATTAATCTTACGGGAGATTCTACAAGGATTAAAGGATCTGAGGAATTAGTTTTCATTTTTTTGACTGCACGTGCATTATGAATTAGTCTTTTTCTTTTATTGGGCTTCGGTATTTCATTAAACACGAAGACTTTTACAAAATATAACTTATTCAAAAGCTGATATTATCCGACTAAAAAGACAAGCTGTTTTCTAATAGAGTATTTCTTTAATACTTACAAAAATTTGGATACAAGTAAGCCAAATTATGGGGGAAAATTATTAAGTTATAAATTAAGCACTCTAGGCGAAACAATTGGTTTAAAATTATTACCTACTACCATACAGCATATTCACTAAAAAAAGATTTAGAAAAAAGTTGCAAGCATTGTATGGAATTTTACAAAAAAGGCGTTTTTAAAAATGTTACTCTTTGTATTACAATTAGAAAAATCTGACAATGTAGTTGAGCCAGAAGATAATGAAGCTAATGAAGATGAGGATGAGGATGAGGATGAATATAATTCAATTAATATAAACAAAGAATATGTATATAACTTATTTTTAAATTTAAAAGATGAAATAAAAAATTGGTAGAATTTACCTGTAATAAACACAGTTCACTCTTTATATAATGGACCATATTAGTATTAGTATTAAAAAAATGTCTGCTATATAGAGAATCTATTATAGACAGTGATAGTAATGATTTATTATTATATAAATTTTCAGTCCGTTATTCGTAATACTGTTATAGAAAGATGCATTAGAGAATGAGCTGTATTTAATTAATAAAAATTAGAAATTTTAATACATTATATAAATTTAGAAAAAAATCCTTATTAATAAAGCTTTATAGGTATTGAAGTTATCTTGATTAACCATACTCCTCTCTTTATTACATAGTTTTTTTTTAAACAAAAAAAAAGTAAAAAAGATATCTCTTGGAAAGATAAAAATTACTATATAAATCAGATCATTTCTAATGAAACTTCATGGGTATCAACGCTATCTTGATGAGATCGTAAATGCCTTTCTTTCTCTCCAATTAATAATTAATTACAAGATTTATTTTTAAAAATTATTACACAAATATAAATTAGTGGTTACACGCCATAATTTCAAGATCGTCACAAAGTGATAAAACAAAACCACTATGTTTTTTGTTTCAGTATGTATAACAATTTTTTTTTAAAAAAAATAATAATAAAAATAAAAATAAAATTCTTTAAAGGTTCGATCAATTGATCAAAATTTCATTATATAATGGTAACGGTAAGCTTGACCGTTATCTCCTTTTGATTTTCAATGTATAATAAATTTTTTTATAAAATGTATATATATATTTTTTTTATATGCACTGAATTAAAAAAAAACATTTTTTTTTTTTTTATGTTAAAGTAGACACATCTTCCGTCTTATAGAAATCGTTCGTTTGGTATAGGAATACCACAAAGACTTCACCTCCCACTTATTTTTCTAAGAGGACTCAGTCTAGTTCCTGCCATTTATGGGCTTTATTCAATTTCAGATGCTAATAATATAGCAGAACGAAATGCTGGTGGTATCTTTGAACTCAGAAGTACTGAATTAGACTATTGGCTAGGTGCAATGTGGGTATGTA